CGCGTGCGTGCGTGCGTGCGTGTGTGTGTGTGTATGTGTGCGCGTGCGTGCGTGCGTGCGTGTGTGTGTATGTGTGCTTGTGTGTGTGTGCTTGTTTGTATGTGTGCGTGTGCTTGTGTGTATGTGTGTGCGCGCGCGCGCGTGTGTGTGTGTGTGCGTGTGTGTGTCTAAGATCTCCTATATCCTATATCCTATCATCTAAACTTGCAGCTAGTGTGGTATGACGGACAGACACGAGTGATTCAGTTATCCACATCCGCTCCACTGTCGCATCTGAAGGCAGATGCACTCTAGCAGTATCTCTAGTACTCTAGCGCTGACGAAGTATTCGGGTACTCGAAGCATTAACCTGTACTGCCACGGCCTGGTTCGTATAGGCTCGTATGTACAAATCTCTTTACCATCAACGACGTCGGTCTTCAATCCCCACCAGCCTCGCCCAAGCGTCTCCCATTCCTTTCTCTTCCTTTTGACCATTTTATGCGTTGGAACAGTCATGCCTGCATACGAGGGTAACATCACAGCTTAAGCATTCGCGTCCGTCCTCTAGGGCGAAGGGTTAGACGTGCTAACGCGTACGACCCTGGGGCGACACGCTGCGGCCAGGTGATGGGTTTCCGTCTGGCCGGGGCGTGCCCCTAAAGGTTTTACTAAAGATCGTACGAACGACGAATTTCAGACGTTGACGATAGCTATTTATTCTGGATATGCGACTGTCGGCACACGCATTTACACAGTATATCTTCTCCTTGCTGACTACAGGCAGCGTCCCAAACGGATGGATACCTTCGACGTAGTGAGTGTGGAAGTGTATTTAGCTGTACTGTACGCTCAGAGTTTAGATTCATCGGCGAATCTATAGTAGCGCTCTGTAGTAGATATCTGTAGAGCGAAGCTTCGAGTGAAAATATAATCTCGTCTCGTCCGGTTACAAGCGACTACAGTGGAGACGGTGAGTAAGGTCGCTCAGGTCACTGAGGTATGTAACCGTACGTAGATGAAAAATGTTGCTTTTTAGTTGTTTGCTAAACGCAAACGATTGTCACAGAATACAAATTATATTACAATATACAAACTATATTATTACATACAAATTACTGCTAGTATAAGAACGGTAGGTGTCAGCACTATCTAATAGTTCTGACACCTAACCAATGAATGATTGGGTTGAATGTAAATACTGTGCCGTAGCCGCAGTAGCACTGAGGCGCTCTGGTGGCTAGCGGAGTCCGGGTGGCGACGATACGGGCCATTTCAACGCCTCCGTGAGTGCGTCCGTCCATTTCACCTTAGGTGAGTGTGCTTACCTAAGGTGACTGCTAGTCACTACGTTTCGACCGGTGGCGCCATCGGGTGTCGCCGGGAGAGCGTAAAAACGCTACAATACCAAAAGTGTTTCCCACACTATACATGACACAACAAGACGCGTCACTGCAAAGATGTAGGATCTCTCCCGCTACGCCATTGATTGAATTAACAAATATTCGCCCTATTCTATATCTTTGCACTGACTAATGTGGTCAGATCATTCTACCTGTGGGAGGATAAGGTGATTGGATCCATGCCATGATGGGTAGATACCTTACTCCTGTGTGGTGGTCCGGGTGGTCGTGTTGGTGAAAAGCCGGTGTGGGGAGCAGCGGCTCCTATACACGGTTACAATCATAGGGCTTCGGTACTTTTGCTGGGGTTTGAACAGGGTGACAACTTTACCCCGGAGCCTTAGATAGAGATCTCTAACTTTACCACCTTGTCGCCCACATGACGGATTAAAATCCCATGATAACACAGGAATGCATGAGTGAGAGAGAGAAAGAGAGAGGGGAGTAGAGAAAAGAAGTTTTGGTGTAGACTTACACGGACATAGCTACAGAATTTGTTGTAAACCCAATGAAATAAATTTATTTACTAATTGAAATGGGAACATGGGGCGATCCATTTACAGTTTCCCGACTAGAAAAAATATGTCACGTTCCAGTCAGGACTGGGATGGTTTAAACTATCAGTTAATGGTCATGCATTCACTGACGAAGTTAGCATTAAATCAGGGGCGTAAACGGTCCAATCCCGCCTCAACGCCAGTTTCCTGCAGTTAACGCCTGAGTACACATGGCTCAACGGCGGAAGCATAGATTACGTGGACGTCACGTGCCAGCCCATTCTCGTAACCAGGGGTGGGAATAAAAAGAGGGTTTTGGAACCAATACCAGAAAACAAGTAATAAAAACTTGTAGTAATCTTTTACATTTCTTCACATTTCATACCATATACAGTTTTAACATTTAGTGCTAGCTAGAGCCTATGAACTGCTGACATCTTTGGCTGATCTCGCGAAAAGTGAAGTTCTAGCTGATGAACCCGTCTACATGAATAGGTTCAGCAGTTGCATGTCCATCTTCTATGAGAGGTTTTAGCATCGCACACACGCGCATGCGCGCAGACACGCACACGTGGTCATGATGATTCAGTCGACTATAAAGTAGAATATAATTATTACTAATTTACGACTAATTAATAACTAACCGCTACCGTTAATTATACTAATATATATAATAGTCGCATAATCGGTTGTTTGTTTAACGACTGTTACAGATTATTTACATTTCCATTATTATGACGGTTGGTAAATCACTCTTACATCGGAGTACCTTTTAATTGAAATACGTACGAAGCATTTTTTCTTTGGTAGGCCCTACGTACGTCAGTAAACACAATAATATCATTTAGGGACATTTAAAAGTTATATGTCAAGTATCAAATATGATAATAGAGCAGCACTCAGAATTTTAATTGTACGCTGTTTTAAACATGCGTTAACTTCCAGCTATTCTTACGATCTGTTCACCGCAGCTCAGCCGCGTTAGATAGCGCCACTTACACATACCCTGATATAAATCGGCGGGACGATTAGCTCTCATGAATAATCTTTTAAACATATTTGATATCAAATATATAAAACATATATTACACTTTTCAAAATATTCAGCCAATGCGCAATAGAAATCCTTTATTTTATTATCTATCATAATAAATAATTAAATCTTTGGAGATTTTGGTACCCCGCGAATTAGGTGAGTTCAAGTAAGTACACGCTCATTACGAAATGTGCAATAATATTCTCATTCCTGCCGTCACGTACCCTGTCAGCACTATCTGTGACGTCACGTTCACTTATACGACTAGCTGTGACGTCACGTTTACTTACACGATTATCTGTGATGTCACGTTCACCTACACGACGGTGTCTGCATTGTCTCTGCTTCTAACAAGCGTATTTGTGACGTCAGTTCTTTTGAGATCAGCACCTGCATTGTCACGTCTTCGGCAAGTTCTTTGACGTGACGTCACTTGCGCTGAAGTCATTATTTGGAATGTCATTTTCTTTCAGGACTGTATCTGTGACGTCACCTCCTTTAAACCCAGTGTGTGCGCTGTCACTTTCGTCTATAATATTATCTGTGACGTCAGCAGTTTCGTCGCCGTCAGGTACTTCGATAAACGTTCTCGCGACGTCCACGTGACGACTTCCGTCTGCGGCAGTTTTGGCGATGACGTCACTCTCTCTGCGGTCGCTACTACTGCGCACGCGTTGCAGATCCGCGCTGACGTCATAATGTATCGCGGAGGCGACAGTTTTTGCGATGACGTCACTCTCTCTACGCTCGCTACTCTTGCCTTCCGAATCTCCACTGACGTCATTATCCGTGACGCCGTCGGCGTAGGACATTCCGTAGTTGATCGCGCTCGTCTGGTTGTGGTAGGACACGGTGAGTGTGAGAGGGGCGCGGGGCTGCACGATGGAGTCTCCGCGTGCTCGCTTCGCCGACGCTCGATAGATCTTATAGAAGCGAGGTAGAGTGAAGAATCCGAGAGCAGTGTACAACACCAACGCCATCGTCAACTTACTTATGAAGCTATAGACGTCGGCGCCGAGGGCGAACGACAGTGACGTCAGAGTAGCGACGACGAGGAAGGCGATGTAGCAAGTGTAGCTGATCAACTTTGCTTCGTCGACCGAGTATCGTGGGTCTGTGGTGCTGCGTTCGAGTCTGTGGCGTGTACAAGGCGTGAACTGACAGAGGACGACGGTAATGATGGCGATTGTACATGGGTACACGTACGCGAAGACGATGTTCCACCATTTCCGTGGCAACCACGTGCAGGAGACGATTGTCTGGTCGGTGTCCGGCGTGTCCTCCCATAGTTGGTTAACATCAATGCGATGTATGGACATCGGATATGCCAGCACCAGCCACGAGCAGTACGCGATGCCGACGCCAGCGACGAGCAGCACTAGCGCCGTCTGGCAGACGTTATCGGCGTAGTGCGAGAGACAGGAATAACGTCTCTTCAGCGATTTGATTCCGGTCCTGATCACAGGGGTTCGCGCTAAGAGGTTAGCAGCGAGTAGGTTTGAAACGCACATTAAGAGAATCGTTCTTGTGTTACATGAAGCGTCGGACGGTCGCGCCCGAAACGGCACGATGGCCACCAATCCGACTATGACGGTGAGAAGAAAACTGATCTTCAAGTTGCTCTTGAACTCGATGACAGGGTGCTGGCGGAAGTAGGTCATGATGACGACGGTTGCTAGAGCGTAGGTCTCTCCCAGTGCTGCGAGGAGTAGCAGGAGGATTCCTTGTCTGTCGGTCCACGACAACCATATCTCCGTGTTCGCCACGCACCTAGAAGACAAAATCGAGTGTGATGTAGTATATAGGCAGTGACACCGGTATCTGTCTGTGCATCCGTCCGTCAATCCTTCTGTTCATCTATCCGTACGTAATTTCGTCCTTCCGTCCATCCCCTCGTCCATCCATCCGTCCGTCCGTCCATCCGTCCGTCCTTCAGTCCATCTTTCTGCCCATCTCTACGTACATCCATCCGTCCATCCTTCCGTCCATCCGTCCATCCGTCAATCCTTCCGTCCGTCCATTCATCCGTGCATCTCTTTCTCCATCCATCCATCCATCCATCCATCCATCCATCCATCCATCCATCCATCCATCCATCCATTCATCCACCGCGCTCACTTCGTCCTAGCTCTCTCTGTGTG